AATCCTAGTTGAGCATGCATGTCACCCTGCTCCCTTGCTTCAGCTGCAGGTTGGTTTGAGTGGGTGGGCTGTAGCAATATCTGCATTGTAGAACTAGCCCCAGACATGTTGGTAAGTCAAGATGCATCTGGGGTCAAGCTTCATGGCACAAATGAGCATGTTTTCTTGCCAAACCCCTGGCTGGGAAGAGGTGCTCGTGAGTGTCCTTTAGCTCTGAATGTAGAACGATGTTGGCAGTAGTATTTAGCCAATTAATTTTTTTTAGGATCTGGTCAAAAGGCACGTTAGTGCTTTTCAACTTTGTTTTCATCAGAATTTCTTGGTTAGGGTGGCTTGACAAGGGTGCTGCGGCTTCATTTCATCAGCCCCTTTCTCCTCTCCCTTCCTGACCCTGCACAGGCCATGCTCTGCCTAGCCCTTGGGTAGGGACCATCCCTGTGCTGTTGCCTGCAGGGCTTGGGCTCAGTTTAGCTGGTGTCGTTGAGTCCTGGGTGGCATTTCCAGAGCTGCCTGCATCGTTTTCCGATCATAGGGAAGTGGTTGCTCTCAGCAGAGGAGGGCTCTGTCTCTGGGAGTGCAGCTGCACTGATTTGGTTTCCTTGTGACTGTTGGTGGAGCAGTGGAGCTCCAGCTTCCCTGGGCAATGGAGCCCTTCCCGACTATGTATGCTTGGACCTGGGCAACAGCCTCCAAATTTGGAGCTTTTGGAACCATTCAGAGAGCTCTGCTATTCTTCATTGCGCTAAGAAGAGCATGCAGATGGATGGAGGATCATCAGGATCTTTTATTTTAACTTCCCTGTTATGACCAGTTAATACAGTTTGGCTTAGACCTTCAAAGTCCATGGCATGAGAAGTGCCCTATAGCCCAAAGGACAATTACCTTGGCTTAAACCCACCCAGGTTATTCTGACTTTATCAAACTGGAGGCGAATGTGGTTGGTCCTGTCCCATTTTGCTCAGTGAGATGTTACTGCAGCTCTAGTCCTGTTTTGGAGGTTTGTGTCTTTTGAAAATTCCTTCCTTGTGCTCATGAGTGATTTTTTTCTTCTAGCACTGGCTGCCTTACTTCGTGACGGTGAAAACCTGGAGGACCTTATGAAACTGTCCCCAGAAGAGCTGCTCCTAAGATGGGCAAACTTCCACTTGGAAAACGCAGGCTGGCACAAAATCAATAACTTCAGTTCAGATATCAAGGTAGTGGGAGCTCTCCTAATCTCATGTGGTCTGTGAGGAAAGGCCAGCTCATGTATTATTATTATTTTTTTTTAATGAGGGAGGTTTTTGGATTAAGATCTGGAAGGGGAAGAAGGGTGTACTGACTACAGCAGGTTGCTCAGAGTCTCTCTGCATGACCAGCAGTCTGGAGCATGAGAAACAAGACTGAAGCAGGTTGTAGACTTCATTCAGCGTAAAGGCCTGTTGGGGGGAAAAAAAATGACATTTGAGATGCGTGGGAAGGCCAGGGCTGTGTGCAGCACATGCACAACTTGCTTCCAGCTTCACAAGCTCTTGCAGTGCTGCTGATAGCTGCTGGCTTGCCCCGTGCAGCCCATAAGCTGCCAGCATACCCTGGGGTGCTGCGCAGTGCTGGGAAGCAGAAGGATTTATAGCTGACAAATTAATATATTTGTGTGTATATATATATGTATATCTGACTTAACTGTTTCTAACATCCTCTCTTTCTGTTTCCTTTCCTGCTGCCTGGATTTCTGCCATCGTGCTCTTTTCTTTTCATTGTCTGTCAAGCTTACTGATTTTGGTAATTCAGTAAAGGTACATAAGCCAATTGTGCACAGGGACTTGCTTAAGAGGAGACTGAATTGGATTGCTATGGTGTTACTCAATCCTGTAAGCAAGACCTGAGGGTTTTTTATATATTTTTTTTCTCCTTTTAGGACTCTAGAGCTTATTTCCACCTTCTCAATCAAATTGCACCCAAGGGGCAGAAAGAAGGAGAGCCTCAGATTGACATTAACATGTCGGGTTTCAATGTGAGTATTCGAGCTCTTATCCCCATGTGGTGCCACTGCAAGCTGTGTGACCCTATAGGTGCCCCATGGCCTCTAGATAACCTGGTATCCTGATTTCAAGGCCATACGCAGTGTCAGTGGGTATGTGCACACCTTGGTATGTGCTAAATGAGCGTTTGTTGCAATTAACAACACGCGCGGTTGGGAAATCCTTTGCATTTTGCATGCAGGATTCTGCCCTTGAGCAACCATCCTATGCGCTTTGAAAGCACAACATTAAGGAGAGGAAAAAAAAAAAACGCTTTTTTTGGCAGAGCTGATGTTGCTCCAGGCCAGGAGCTTCCTTGCTCCGTGTCCTGATGGCTTTGTGTCCCCTGCAGGAGAAGGACGACCTGCGGAGAGCGGAGTACATGCTGCAGCAGGCCGACCGCCTGGGCTGCCGGCAGTTTGTCACGCCTGCCGACGTGGTCAGCGGCAACCCCAAGCTCAACCTGGCCTTCGTGGCCAACCTCTTCAACAAGTACCCGGCGCTGACCAAGCCCGAAAACCAGGACATCGACTGGACTCTGCTGGAAGGTGATGGCCGTGTCAGTCGCAAAATTAGCAAATTGGGGGTATGGCAAGAGGCTGTGCTGGAGGGATGTGTGGTGTTGGGGCTGAAGTGGCTGTTTATCATAGAATCATAGAATGCTGAAGGCTGGAAGGGACCTCTAGAGCTCATCTAGTCCAACCCCTGCACATGCAGGGTCACCTAGAGCACATGGCACAGGACTGCGTCCAAGCGGGTTTGAAGATCTCCTGAGAACGAGACTCCACAACCTCTCTGGGCAGCCTGTTTACCCTCTGTGTGCAGCTGAATAACGTGTCTGAGGGCTTGTTCAGCTGCCCCAGTGCTGCTGTGGGCTCTGAGCTTGCAGGAGGGCCTTTTTCCTCTTGCAAACGTAAATGAGAATCTGTGCCACTCGGAGCAATCCGTCTCGCAAGGCGGAAAGCCCCACGCAGCCCTCTGAGCTTTTGGGAAGTTCACGTTACCCGTTTTCTTCCCCTTAGGAGAGACACGGGAAGAACGAACCTTCCGCAACTGGATGAACTCCCTTGGTGTGAACCCGCACGTAAATCACCTCTATGGGTAGGTGCCTCTCCCTGCAGAAACCCAATGACTTCTGACCGAGTGTCCCGTGTTCCACAGCAGCCAAGGGAAGAGCTTGGGAAGTTTTTAGCAGGGAGAGAGCCAACCTTATTGCACCTTCCCTGCAGCCTTTAGCTTAGGAGTTTCTGAGCCAGTTCAGGCACTGCGACCTTACAGCAATTGGCCTTTAGGGGCTGGAGGATCTGCTTGCATGACTGTTCGAGTAACTGAACCTCAATTTCATGTTGCCTAATTTTAGGGCTCTGCTGAGCCCTCCTATCTGCAGGCAAAGCTCCCTGGGTACAAAGTGAACCCCACAGTCAGTGGAGAGAGATGGACACCCTTTGGATTTTGGGCGACGTGTTGTTGTTTGGCTGCGTTGCTGACGTCTGTCCTAAAATCTGCTCTAGTTTAGCAGCCAGCTATGTTAAACACGGAGTCCTTCTACTCCAGAAGGTACAAGGCGTTTTGAAAAAAGTCCTTTTTGAGGTTGTTGAGGTTGCAACAGCTGTAAACAGTAGTAATTACCCATAGAGCAACAAAGTCAAAGTGTACTGATGTTTTGAAACATTAAGGTTAATTGATGTTTTCCTTTTTAGTGATCTGCAAGATGCGCTCGTAATACTGCAATTATACGAAAAGATTAAAGTTCCCGTTGACTGGAATAAGGTTAACAAGCCTCCATACCCTAAGCTTGGTGCAAATATGAAAAAGGTAAGCGCTTCAAAAGGCTTTAGAAGTCCTCAATGTGTGGTATTTAGAAATTTCTCTTTGAGACTTCTAGATGAATGTATCTCAGTGACATTTTGTTTGTTCGAACTCTTTTCCTGTGTAGCTAGAAAACTGCAACTATGCTGTAGATTTGGGGAGGCATCCAGCTAAATTCTCCCTGGTTGGCATTGGAGGACAGGATCTGAATGATGGAAACCCGACGTTGACGCTAGCCTTAGTCTGGCAGTTGATGAGAAGGTGAGACCCATCTCCAGCACACAGCACTTGGGAAGGGAGTGTGATGGTTGGGAAGATTTGCAGTGCTGTGTTGGAACAGGGCTCTTGGAGAGGCTGCAAAACCTCCATCCTTGGGTGTTTCCAAGGCTTTGCCAGACAAAACTTTGGCTAAGATGACCCTGTTGCATGTGAGAGTTGGACTAGCAACTCTCCAAAAAGGAGAGCCCTTTTGTGGCACTTTGCACATCCTGCCTGTCCAGCCCATGCAGAGCTGATTCTTGTGCTGATACACAAAGCAGGAAAATGGCCAAACTTATGTAGTTTTAATCGGAAATTATGAAGAGAAGCATTTAAGGGTGGCTTTCTAATACCATCCCCATTGAAATGAGAGAGAGGAGAACGACTGAATGAAAGATCATGGAATTGATACCCCTTTCTCTTACGTTGTTCTGAAAAATTATAATAGGATGCACATGTATGTATATTTATTATATACATACACGCGGTGGTTCATTATTGCATGCTAGATAGGACTTTTTGAAGCTCTGCCTAGTCTTGTTTCTGCCTTCTGCTTCTCAGGTACACACTGAATGTGCTTGAGGACCTCGGCGATGGTCAAAAAGCAAATGATGACATTATAGTCAACTGGGTAAACAGGACCCTGAAAGAAGCTGGCAAGTCCACCTCCATCCAGAACTTCAAGGTGCAGGTTCCCCTCTTGCCTTTGCAAGGAACAGGCCCCACAGCCATGTCCACTGCAGCTGGAGCACATGAGAAATGGGTGTAAAAAGACAGGATTCAGCCTGTGCTGGCAGCAAGTGGCTTCAAGCTACTGCAGAAGAGATGTGTGGGACCACCCATGTTGGGAAAGAGCAGCAGGGTGGCCCAGCTGATGGGGAGAGCAGAGAGGGGGTGATCAGGCTGTGCTGGAGCTGCTGAGCCTTGGTGGGTGGGAAGTCCCTGGGGGTCTGGGCAGTGGGACAGACCTGCCAAATTGCTTCGCCTTTTCACAATCCTTGTGACAAGCTGGAGCAATGATCTTGTAGTGCTGCTGAAGGAGAAGCAGCAGTTTGGTTTGCCTGTGGTCCAGCTGGGAATAATCCCTGACAGCACTGCTTCGAAACAGCTCATTTAAGTCTTTATTACACATTCCAGAGCAGACTGATGAAGGTGAGAAGTGTGCTAAGGATTAGACATGTATCTTTACTTGTCTCCTTATATATGTATATGTTTTTTTTCTAGGACAAGACTATCAGCACGAGCTTGGCAGTTGTGGATTTAATTGATGCTATACAGCCTGGTTGTATCAACTATGACCTTGTAAAGACTGGTCATCTATCAGAAGATGACAAACAAAATAATGCTAAGTAAGTCTGCTAGCTTGAAAGCTGCATTGCATCAAGAGGGTGTAACTTCTGTGCCCTGGCTTTAAGCTGCAGGTGTTTTTACTACATTACTGTGGCTTTCAGGCTCTGTTAAGCCAGTGCCTTTGAGACAGGCAGCACTTCTTGATGCCAAGTTCCTCTCCTTGTTGGTAACCCTGGGGGAGTAGTTGTGCTCTTCAGGCTGCAGAGGGAGATGCAGAAGAGCCCAGGTGGTTCTTGGTGATGATATTCTGCTTTTTATCTTTCTGTTCTGGCGTGTGCAGTGCTCAGCCATAGCTCAGGGTTTTAAAATTGAACCCTGAGTTGGGTTTGTCCATCTCTTGTCTTGCTGAAGCATCACAGGCTTTTAAGTTTCAAAGATGACTATTTAAACAGACCTTTGATATGTGTTTTCTGTGTTTGCTCTGCAGTAGCAGAATAACAGCATTTTTTCTGGCAAATAACAGTATGTCTCGATTATTCCAAAAAAAGCAGTGAAAAATGTAAATATTAGCTGATTAATCCTTGGTTACGCATGTTAACTATTACCCCTAGCAAACATTAATTAGGGTTTTTAAGTGTTGATAAAACGGACTTGACATTCAGAGGTGAATTTGTTCACCTATTAAAGACACTTCCCTGTACTCGGGGAAAGAACGTTACAAAGGGTCAAAATATATGTTATAAAACAAATAGGTTTGGTGTGATTGGACTATTGCACGTCTAGAATCCTTCTCTGAGCCTTAACAGAGAGTAATGGGAAGAGAAATTCTGTTGGACAGAGGAGGAGTTGACTTTTTATTTAAAAACAGCAGTCTGCAAGCGCTGACGCACTCATCTTTTCATGGCAAACAGGTATGCTGTGTCCATGGCGAGAAGAATTGGTGCCAGAGTTTATGCCCTTCCAGAAGATCTCGTGGAGGTGAAACCGAAGATGGTCATGACCGTGTTTGCCTGCTTGATGGGCAGAGGAATGAAGCGAGTATAAAGGGGCTGATACATGTAAAAATAAAATTTTTTAAAAAAAGCAACAAAAAAACCCAACCTGCCACCCTGGGTGCATGAGTAGCAGATCAGCTGTGTCCACGTTGAAATGCTGTTGGCCTAGGAACTGCTGAAGTTTAAAGGACTTTGTTTTGCTTTGCAAGACAAACTCTTATCAAATTCTCAGGGAGAGGAGTTTTAACCAACAGACACGCTCTTTTCCCAAAGGAAAGTTTAACTTATCAAGAGCTCACAGAAATGCATTCATAACAGACCAGCATCTTGCAGTACTGCTCTGGAGCTGTTTTCACCTTGTTATTTCTCAGATGCTTGGTGCGTGGGTGTTTTTTTTTGGTTTGTTTCTTTTTTTTCCCCCTGAAGGGGCTTTAAGGTGGTTGGTATGAGTTGTAATGGAAACATCTTATTTCTGTCTGCAATCCAGTTTAATTTGTATTATATGGCTCAAGCATAGTCTAGGTTTGACTACTTCCTTACTTTTGCAAGCAAAGCTACAGTAGCAGTTGGGACCTGCAGGCCAGCTCATGATGTTAAATGAGAAGCGTGTATAAATTTGAAGATGGATCTTCTTACGGTATTCTCTGTACATGGTGCTTTTTTTATAAACCTAACTATTTTGATTACAGATAAAGCATGGCAGTTTTTTTCTCTTACTGCTTATATAAAATATTTTTTTTAAGTTAGACTATATACAAGAATACCACCATCCTTGGACCTCTCGCGGTAACTCGTGGTGTCACGTTGCTGATGGCACAGTTGCACCTGGGAATGGAAGTGAATGCATTTTTGTATGCATCTTGGTTCAGTTGTGTGCACCTAGAAAATAATTTTTACAAAAATCTGCATGAAAACTATAACTTTTTTATTTAAAATACTGCTGGATAAAAAACCATAATCCATTGTGGGGAGGTTTAGTGTGGGGAAGAGACAAATGTTGTAAACAGCAGGGTTCAATAAACTGAACAGCAAATGTGGTGGAACATAAGACTATTTTTACAGATAAAAGGAAGTGTTGTCGCCAAAGGAAGATGCTGTATCCTTAGGAGTTAATATTATCTTGCTTTGGCAAGCTGTTTGCTATATTTTGAGATCATATTGCTATTCTGAGCTATTCCAAGTGATGTAATATGGTGGCAAAGCATTAGTTGAAATAAAAGAACATTTAAATACAAGTTTTCCTCCTTATTTACATTGACTTAGCAAATACTTCTAGGTCAAAGCTCATTTGCTTTTGGCTGAACTTGGCTTGATCTTGATTTTTTTGCACTGGGTGTACTGAGCTGTGTAATTGCCTCTAGTTGTGTCATGCACAAGTCACCTTTTAATAGTCACCTTTGCAGACTAGTTGCAGTTACACAAGTAGTCTGCAAAGGTGACTATTAAAACGGGTGCTGCGGTGCAGTTATTCTCAGCTCGTGTTTTTGGCTGGCTTTTATAACGGCTTCCTGAAGTCATTGCTGCTTATGTTGGTGTCCCCAAGTGCCTCATAGGTTGCCCATGGAGGGTGTCCTGGTTGCAGCAAAACCTGGGAGCGCAGGAGGGAAAACTGCAGCACCGTGGAGCTGCAATTCAGCCTCGTGCCTGGAAAGCACAGGACCATTGGGACAACTTCTGCGGGTTTGGTGTCGTGCAAACAGACCTCAGTGACCTTCACCGCTTGGTCGGCCCCCTCTTCCTGCCCTGTCTGCAGCTACAGCGATGATGTTTTTGGCAGTGAAAACAAGTAGGTGTGTGTTGCCCAAGAGACAGGCTGCAGCTTGTCTGCTGCCAGGACCGGGATGAGCTTGGTTATTGACGCAGGTTGCACGTTGCCCAACGTCGTGCCAATAGTGAAAGAGGTGGAGCACCTCTAGGTTCAATCATTTGAAGCTTCTTACCTGCTCTGGGTGAAATGCTCAGTGGAGATTGCAGGAACCAAGTTACCAATTTCTCCATCCCATCTCCAGATCATCGTACCATGTTGCTGCTGTGAAGGAGCTCTCTTTTGGTAGTGAAGCTGTCGGTGTCCTTGAACCGTGTTGCATACGCTTTAATAAAGTAATTCATGCAGCAAAAAGTGGGGGGCACCTCTTTCCATGATCTTTTCCTCCAGGAGAAACCACAGCTGGAACGGGAGCAGAAAATTCTTTCCGTTGAAGCAGGCGTTAGCTAGAAGGGCTGGAGCTGCTGCCAAGCATCGCACCTCTTCCTTTCCTCCCGTTGGATATTTTGGGTCGTTGAATGCGGTCATTTCGGCGCAGTCATCGGGCTCTTGCTTGGTGGTGTGGGCAGGAGATACCAGGCATCTTGTGGCCGCTCGTGGAGTTACCTGTGCTGCAGGCACGAGCCCCGCTGCTCCTCGATGCGCTGCTCGTGCAGCTCGTAAAGCAGGAGCTCCTGCTGCACCGGAGCCGGGTCTGGGCTGTTGGAGGCCACGGAGCCTCTTGAGCAGCAGCTGGTGAGGAACGTGCCTTGACTCCGCTATCCGCAGGCTCCCTCCGGAGCCCCGAGGTGCTGGCGGCCTGCCTGGTGCAGAGGGGTAGGAATCGCTGTTGCTGCTTGGCGATTTTCCCCGTGTCCAACGCATAGGGATGCTCTTCACGCCATGGAGAGTTGCAGAAGGGCTCCCTTTTCCACGCCATCCCAGCCGTTAGCCTGGAATTTGGTGCCATCCAGGGGCAAACGCTGGGTATTGCAGTGAGCATCGCCCGGAGCTGGGCATGGGTCGCGTTGGTATTTGGGCGATCTCCTCAACATCTGGAAGGGTCTGGAGCAGGTCGTGTACTGGAGGCCTGGGAATTGCAAATGCTGGAGGGCCTCAGTGCTCCAGGAACTGCAACATTGGGACGAGACAGCGAGGAGATCCAACTGCTTAGAAAAACTTTGATTTTTACCTTTGCCCTCTAAATAGGTGGAACTCTTACCCTTAACAATTGCCGAATAAGAAAAGTGGTCTAATACTTATGCAGAACATATTTAAGAAATATGTTGTCCATGCAGGTCATACGGGATTGTCCCAGCGCTTCCTGAGACCCCACCTCAGCCGAAAGTCTAACTAAAACGTATGTATTTTGGGAAAGGGCAGATGTTCATTAACATCTTCTGATACTCTGGCATTTTTGCCCTGTTCTAAAAGGAGGGCAAATGAAAATCTTGCAGGCTGAAGAAAATATTTCTGCCTCTATTTCTTTAAAATGGGCATGCCCCTGCCTGACAGGTTTCCTATAAAAATATTTTTCCTTAGCATTTTTGTAATTTTTGTGCAACAAATATGGTTACAGTTTTTATTGCAGCAGAATTCCAGCTGCCAAGGTGAAATGGCAGAAGATGGGGTTGTGCCTCACTAGCTTCTTTCTGCATTTTTCTCCCCAATTTTAGTCCTTGTCATCTTTGTGCTTGGAATTAACCTTTTTTATTAAGTAGGTGGAAAGACTTCTTAGCTTTTCTGCATCTTGCAGTGATTCCGCCCTCGTATGGGTCCACATCTTGCAAAAGGTTCTGTGTTTTCTCCTTCATCTCCAAGATCTCTCCCAAGCATCTTTTAAGTCTAAATATCTTTGGAGCCTCTGGATTTTGATGGATGTTCTCTCATATTCCTCAACAGCTTCATTCTTTCGTGGATAAAAAATGCAATCACATGTTCTTGCAATCAGAGTGTGTTGCATACATCTCACCAAGTCTTTCAATCACTTCTTCATCGTAGCTCAAAGGAGCAATTTAGAGTCATGCTCCTGTTCCGTGTTTAATGAGGTGGCGGTTTAAAAATGTCAGCAATATTTTCTGCAAATCTCCAGTAGAGACAAGTCTCTCTTTCGTTTAAAATGTTCACCAATTTGTGTTGTTCAGTGGAAAAATGCAATGTTGCAGAGACTTTAAAAAAATGTCAAATGTGGGTTTTGTTTGTTTTTATTTCTGCCTTTCTTTTCTCTTACAGAGTAGCTAGAAGAGAGGAATGGACAGCAAGAAGGGAGGGTATCTTTTTTCACTGCTTCCTGAAGCAATTCAAGATAGAGGAAAGCAAGGTTGGTGGGGAATGCAATGAAGACTGAAACAGCACAGATAAGATGTAATGAAAGTATTATAGTCTATAAAGCCTAAAGAAAAGTATACAAAGAAAGCATTGCCTGTTTGATACCTGGCACAAAGCTAATGGCAAATCTTGTAGCACAAGACGTGATGTTTGTGGCTTCGTGGTTGCAGGGCCAGTGAAGAGGAGTGACAGCAAAGGTTGCTCTTATTCTTCCTTACCAGCAATTTTTCATTGCCAAAATGAAAAAATTTTCACGATTTTTCATTGCCTTTTCTTTTGTTTTCAGTAATAGGAAAAGGTTTGTCATTTGTACTTAAGGAAAGCGTGCGAATGCAAGCATTTGTAAAACTACAAAAACTTCCTAAATACACATATTAAATAATAATTTAGCAATAAAATAAACAAGGGGGTTCACCCCGCTCAAACCCTCGGGTGCTGTCACAGTGTGGCCGGTGCGGCGCCTCTCCTGCCCGCCATGCCCCAGGTCAGGCCGGCCAGCACGGCGGGCAGCAGCCGGGCTGGGTGTCCCCATGGCCCCGTGGCCCCGCCATAAAAGGGGGAA